GTTCCACATGAAGAATATCATGCAGTAGATGAACAAATGATTCCCACAAAATGTAGAAGCTCTCGTAGGCAATATTTACCCAAAAAGCCCCACAAATGGGGCATTAAAGTGTGGGCAAGATGTGGGAATAGTGGCATCTTATACGACTTTGAAGTTTACACTGGAAGGCAAAAAGAAAACAAAGAATTTGGTAAACTTGGTGCTGTGGTTAAACGACTAGTTGACCAAAGAATCTAGGTCACAAACTCTATTTTGACAATCTCTTTACCAGCATTAATTTGATCAAGTATCTGAAAGCTGAAGGAATACGGTCTTTGGGTACCATACGTTATAATCACTTCGTAGGAGTAGATAAATTGCTGAAAAGCAAAAAGGCTTTGGAAGCTGAAGGTATAGGGTCGACTGATTACCGTGTTGACAAAAATTCCAATCTAGTACTTCTCCGGTGGTTGGACAATGGTGTGGTTCAACTTGTTTCATCATTTGTTGGAATTGGTGCTGGAGATACAGTTAAGCGGTGGAGTGGAAAAGACAAGGAGAAGATTAATGTTCCATGTCCTGAAATTGTGCATGAGTACAACAAGCACATGGGTGGAGTTGATTTGTGCGATATGTTACTAGCTTTATATCGTATAAAGTTAGGTACAAGAAAATGGTATATGCATATTGTTTATTACTGTATTGAGGTATCGATTGTGAATGCATGGCTTCTTTACCGGCGACATTGTGATAAAAAAAAATTGTCAAGAAGAATGTTTTGCCTCTTCTCAAGTTCCAAAGTCAAATAGCCAATTCTCTACAGGCTGGCAAGGTAGGAAAGCAGGCACCACAAAATAAACGTGGTCGTCCCTCACTTTCACCTGTATCAGATAATCCATCAAAGCGCCAGAGATCATCAGTTGCAGTCCCACAGAATGACATACGGTTTGACCAAATAGGCCATTTTCCCCTATTTGCTGAGAAGCAACAAAGATGTAGACTTTGCAAGAAAGGATATTCTAGAGTTCAGTGTAGCAAATGTCATGTTCACTTGTGTTTTGTGAAAGATCGCAACTGCTTTTATGTTTTTGTTAGGTGATGAGCACATGTAGTGACATTAGAACCGATACTATTTGGTATTTTGCAACATATATATGGTTATATAATTAATATTAAGGTAAATTGTTGTTATATTTCAAATTTTTTTTAGTTGTATGTATTTTTCAAATACAGAAGGTATATATACCCTTATGTCATAATGTTGTCCTGTGACAACAGTCTAAAATTCCTAGAAAGTGAAAGTTTTGTTAGTTTCTCATATTTTGGTATTATTCCCTTCGGTAATTTAACTGCAAAACCACTCGTAATTATTTTTTTGCTATAAAAGGAAAATGTCATGAAGTAGAGGTTATATAAAGTTATTTGTAATTTAATAACAAGGCTGAGGATATCTGTAAGTACTCATACTTTCTCCTTTATCTTTTTCACAACCATCTTGGTGCAGGGCAGAATGAGAATCATCATTATTATCTTCTCTCACATCATTGTCCCATTCATCTGCTACAAAGACCATAAGAATTTCATTAATTTTACAAAATAATGCCTCATTTTGTGTCATCATAAATACGAAAACTACTGTCCAGACCCTAGCCTCATAGCTTTTTTGTAATTACAATCTTATATACATGAAAAATAGTGATCAGCTTGGTCATCATTTTCCATGGCTTAATGATTGATCTGACAAACAATCCACTGAATCCAGGTCTTCATTCAGTTCAGCATCACGAGCAGGAGAGCTTTCCTCACGGCCACAAGACGCGTAATCTGTCTCACAGCGAAGACGACGCCATTTGGTTGTTCTAGGTATTTCGGGGTTGTATCTCCATCCTCTGGGTTCAGGCTATATAACTACTAAGGCCCTCTCTTTCTTCTGACAACATTTTCTGTGTTTGTATTTCCCTCAGCCATATCAGCAGCATTCGTGCAAAAGTTTTTAGAAGGACTAGAATCTTGGTTTGTTTCGCAAGCATTCCGCGGCACTGAGCTATATAATGATTCCTGGAGGACTTGCTCCTAATGATTTTTGCTCAAAAAGTGAAGCAAAAAACATGGCGGATTTCGGCCTCTGTGACGTCATTTTGACGTCACCTGGCCTCCTTTGCCCATGGTAATTACCACTGACCAGGCTCAATTCTCAGCCCGCTACAGTAGATTCCCCCCTGGTTTTTATGAATATTTTGTTTCTTCCGACTGCTGTGAAACCTTGTTGTTTTGTTTTTTCGATATATTTTTTACCTAACCCGTAAAACAGGTTTTATTTCGGTTATGTACAAGTCATAGGTACTGTTTTTGCAAATGCCGGAACAAACAAATATTGGGCGAACATAAAAAACATTTAATACGTGGACGAAACTCGAAAATTTTACAATGATATGAAGCTGACAGGTTTTTTCTCTTTTCTTTGTTTTCAATTTCAATATACATTACTGTATAAAATTTTAGAAATGGTTGAGTTTTTTTGGCATTGTCGTAATTTTTTAGTGTCTTTTATGGATACCAATCTGACTTTTCTTAAACCCTGAACTAAAAGATTACAAAAAGTATCCAGTTATGTTGTCCTGTGTCCATGCTTGTGCATATTAAATCCAAAGAAACAAGGCCTAAGCTCATGCAAGATATTGGGCAGCAGATTAGCTGTACTGAGTGGGGGGATACAATAGTTATAACCAGAAGTGATATTTACATGGCCTATATTTATTTAGGTCATACCTTGTGCCTCAATGAGCTACAGACAATGTATACGCTTTTTGTAATGCACTTTAGTTTAAACCTGTAAAGGTGTCCCCGTACCTAAGAAAAGTCATTGATGCTTTGTATTTGATATGAAATTATACCTAATAGCAGGAGTAGTACAAATATAATAGCCTAATGAGTTCACAAAAACGCAACTGTGCTTGTTCACCCCTCCATTAGTCAGTCTATTATCCAAAAACCCTGATTATCCCAATAATTTTAGCCCTTTAATGGTGTGTGGGGGGAATGCATTGTCCAGGAAATTATAAAGGTTGTTGCAGATTGAAGACACACTGCTCAATTAATGCATGTTTTTATGCATTTATTTATTATTTTTAATCTGAAAAACCATTGTAAAAAAATGTCAGCCAACAATTCAGCTTTATAGCCAACAGCGCAATTATTTTAACTCTATATTTTACAATCAACATGAAATTCGTTCTGGTTCACTGGATCGAATCAAATGAGACAAGTATTTTAAACGAGGAATTTTTAAAAGACAAAAGCATGCTGAAGAATCCAAACAAGGAAGGTATGGTTATGTTTGGCGATTCAAAAATGAGGGCGCCTAAGAACGGTTGGAATTCGTATTTGGCTAAAGTTTTAGCAGCGAGTGGTGAGTATTGCAGTACTATACGTTTGTAGTTATTAAGATTCAGTTATAGATGGGCCGTAATAAATAGCAAGCCGGTATTTTTGGCGTTGTAACATTTCATGTTTACGACCTCTCAATAAAATGCGTTAGTTTGTCAAATTTACACTCATTTTATTCTAAGCCTGACAACCTATAGAAAGTAGTTAGCAACGTCGAATATCCTAAGGCTACAGCAATAATAAATGGTGTAGAAATATAAACATTTCACGTATTTTGGGCTGAAAGTTTGGATAATACAACAGAAATTTTGGTGGTTTCATGTGGCATGTTCTTGCCCTCGTCTTAGTCCTTTTGCTCGGAATTTCAAATATGACGTCATCCCGCCTTGGAATGGTATGTTGACATTGGTAATCTGCATGAAGTTTATATTTTATATTTTTTTAGATTATGTTACTAAAATTAAGATTTCCAAGCACCTGCAATGATTCAGCAATCATGTGCACCATGGCACAAAAGTGCAAGGATATCAGAGTATCCATGGGGAACAGGATGAAAAAGCAGGAAGAGAAAGAATGAAGACAGTAGAACTTTTAACTTAATAAATTTAATAGTCAATCTATATACTTGTTAATCTTTAGTTTTCTATACTTAATATTGAATTCATAACATTGTAATCTATTTTTTCAATGAAATATAATTTTACTGATTTTACTTACTGTTGCTTTTACTTGTTACATGTGTTCAAATTTTTTTCCTAGCATGAATTTATTTATGCGAATCACATGCGAGCCTGTCATACATGGTAACCACATGTGGGTCATATGTGATATAACCACATGTGAGTCACATGTGATATAACCACATGTGAGTCACATGTAGATATAACCACATGTGGTTGTTCCAATTTCACATGTGAGTCACATGTGATTCCACATGTGGTTTTCACATGTGTTTTTTTCGTAAGGGACATGATCTCAATAAGGTCGTGAAATGGTGAAAAAAGAATGCACGTGCACCATGATGAAAGTAAGGGCAAAATCGCCTGATACAAATGTTTTTTTGTCACCCCAAATGTTTTGTTTTACTTTTTAAGGCTTTCTTCATTGCATAGTATATATGATAATAATGATTTAACTAATTAAATATATTGTTTGTTTTACGTCTCTGATCTGCTTATATATACCGACAATTTTGTCTGCAAGGGAAGACATTGATTTGATGCCTCTCCGACAGTCTTTTTGACTTTCATTTGCCAGACTTTGCGTTCCGAGGAAATGATTGAGTCTCAACATGAAAATAGTTTGTTTTTGCGAGATTTTGCAATTAAACTATGTCATATTTCTTGTTGTAATTGAATCTTAAATTCCTTGGAACACCTTCGCGATGTTTGTGCAAAATGCTCAAACTCATCGTAGTGCGCTTATGTTTAATTTGTGTTTACTTTGCGTACATCACTTTGTTCAGTGTAAGAGTTGTCCACATGCATTTTCACTAATGTTATTTCCTCTTTCTTTTCCACCATTTTTTCAGATGTAGACGAGTGTAAGAATGCGACACTAAATAATTGTGGTGAAGGGTATGATTGTGTCAATCTTCTCGGCTCATATAAATGTGAATGCAATGGGAGAGAAAAAAGGTGCAAAATGTATTGATCCAGGTAGAGCAGCAATTAAAACAATCTTGATTTTAGCATTAAGTCCAAAATGTGAAGGATCGCAAAGCAAACGAGTGAGTATGCGATCCTTGACAACGAGTGCAAAATAAAAATCGTAGAAACGAGCTAACCATTAAGTAATTTGTTTATTTGTATAGAGATCAATTTGGCAACGACGCGTTTTTGATACACAAAAAAACAGCGACAACAAAAATAAACAAATTGTACTTCAAAACATATTTCTTACCGATTAGTTTGTTTGTTATTTTTTTCAATAGAAGTTAGATATTCCTTCCGAAATATTTGATAATATGCCGAATGTGAAAATGGATTGTCTTGAATTTGAGAATAATGTTTTAAATCACACTCCTATAAGCTATTTTGACGCTATCTTAAAAAAAATAAACAAATTGCCGCCAAAATGTACGACATTTTTAACGCGTGAAGAATATCTTATGTCCAATCAAAAGCCGTGTAAAGCATTTTTCAGCCGTGAAAAACATCGTGCGTCGAATGAAAATGCTTGAAATTGATTTATCCAGTGAAATACGATTTTTATTTCGTCATTCTGCTGTGCATAAATCTCTATACACATATAATAAACACTTATATTCGTTGGCTTTATAATATAAGTATGATATAACGAGCAATTTGATTGGCTACCGCGCGTGCATTGTGAGGCCATAATGCACGCTTCTGGCTTTTGAAATTTTTGTTGCTAAGCAACATCTTAAATAACATGTAAGGAGAATTTCATTATTGATCAAATAAATAAATTTTGTTGTTGCCCTATAATTTCTTCTTATATTATAAAAGAATTAAAAAAGCTCGTCGTGTGCCTTTATGGTGTAATAATGCACTCGGAGAAATGTTGGAAGAATACTCGAGAAGCTTGTAAAACAACTGCGCCTCGTGTTTTACAAGCTTCTCTCGTATTCTCCCAACATTCCCCCATCGTGCATTATTACACCATAAAGGCACGCGACTTGTTTTTTAATTCTTAAATAAAACATGACGAAAATATCTTTTTAATTTTTAGGAAGTATCACACGATATCGTGTTCAGTTGACAATAAAACAAAACTATATTGCGGCCCTTGGAAGTACAGCCTCTAAAGAGTTTGGAGACTTGAAAGAAAGGATAGAAAAAGCGGTTTGTTAAATAGTTTATATAATATATTTTTGCAACATTTTTAATAATGGTTTAGAAGCGAGGGAAAATACTTTTCTATCCAGACCAACTTTACAAATCAGCAGCGGACTGATTTCCAGGAAACCCTCCCACCTGGGACTTTTCCCAGTCTCTTGTTTCTCATTCTGATACAAATTCATTGCGTGCATAGAATACAGAATATGTTATGTCGCGTTATAGATTGGTTGAACTGTTTTTGCAACTCTGTTATAGAACCGTATATCTAATGCTTAAGCGAAACTTTTATTTTTTAAAATTAAATATGTGACCTTCCACGGGAAAACATACGTTAACGCTATTTCGTTCGTTCGAAAATATCGTTCGTTATCCGTTCGTTTGCCGTTCAAACGCTTGAAGCGTTCGTTGAAACGATTTTCGAGATCGTTCATCGTTCGAAATTGCCCGTTCGAACGCTTAGGAAAAAACGTTTGAAAATTGGTCCAAAAGCGTTCAACCGTTTGATTTACCGTTCGTTGAAACGTTTGCCGGAATTTCGTTCAATCGCATTGGATTTGGTTCAACATATTAGATTAAACATTTGCAATGTTACAACTTTGTAGAAGAAGCGCAGAATGTGCTACACAGAAATACTCCCAGAAACGTATTCAGTTCCTTAGTAAAAGGCTTGTAAAGGAAATAGAGAGGTTATATCGTTTTAGCCTAATCGAATGCTATTTTGTGCGCTTTATGTTATGGTTTATGCTTATAGTTGCAGACAGAAGGCTATTTATTCAGTGCATGCAATTATTCCAATAGCGTCAAATTTCACGTCGTAAGCTTTCTTTCAAAAATTCATCGTTTTTTGAATTCGGTAATGCACTAAATGGTTAGAATTTGTGCTTCACTATACTTCTGTAGCTTCCATAAGCGAAATTTCACCGCGCATCCAAACAACGTCGCAAGCCATATATTAGCGTTACGAGCCATAATATGCCTTGGCAAGGTGCTAATTATGTTGCATAATTGTCGGAAGTCTCTAAATGTATGTAAACAGACAAAACCAGATTTTAAAATGAATTGAGGGATTTTGCGTGTTACATATTAATATCGTACTTGTAAACCATGTGTATATAGCTAATTTATTTACATCTGATAAACTTATATAGCTGGGCCTCCGTACGAAGCAGCTACTGATTAAAATCTATTCAAAATTAAGGACCGCATCCTAGGACGGACATTTCAGCTTGAAATTCGTTGTCTTTAATGCAGTCTGACATAGCTACAAATTATACAACAATTGAAATACCCTAGCTAATATTTGAAGACATAAATACAGTGACATAACGCGCGTTCGGTAGGGTTACGACGAGAACTAAGAGATCCCAATTTATTGGGGGCCAGGATAGATAACGAAACATCATAGTATAAGCAAAACGTGATTTATGACAAACAGCGAATTAAGGGACCCTGCAGTACCAACTATACCTCAAGACCCCATCCTCGGCTCTGTTCGTTACGCCATGCACTGCATGAATATCATAGCAATTTAAATATGTACGCGTGCATCTAGTCTAAAACTGGAGCCGGAGCAACAAGATCCTCAGTGCCCCGCTTACAAAATCACTAGATCTAAGCCATCTGGCTCGATCGTCGCTGGCATGTTGAAAGGTGGCAATTGCATAAATATAACTTATGGCATAAATATAACTCATGCATTGTAAATATTTATTTAGACTCTTAATTCACAAAAAAATACTTCATATATATTGATATATGCACATTTCAGCACAATTCACTCTCCATGTATATTTTGGTTGTAATTTGATTTCTCTCGACTTGCTCCTCGAATCGGAAACGTGGAACGCGGAAAAGGCTCAAATCGTATAAATGATAGAGACTGTATGAAAGTAATGAACCTAAATCAATGATGTTCATTGTGTGACATTGTTTATTACAAAAAAAAAATTCCGTGTTTTGTGAGGTTGAGTTTTGCGCTATGTTTTAAAGTGCGTGCAGTCCTTCCTTGCGCACACTGGGCTGACACAAGCCCAAAGGGCAAGTTGCCAAGCTAACGTTTACAAACATTTAAGTTTGACCTTTCAGATATTTTGCTACATATATTTCGCTATATATAATTCATCAGAAAAGGAGCATTGGAATTTATCTTGCTTGGACAACATATCAGCTGTTGGGCAACAGGAAAATTTTCACTAATTTTGATTTGGGTTCCCTTGATTAGAAATTACATTCCGGATATTAAATTGCAATCATGCATGGTCATTGCACCTTGAAGCCTGCCAGCTAGAGCGACAAAATGAGCAAATTTGAAATGGCACCTATCAACTGTTTATGCGTGCATGAGCGCGCGGGTAAAGATCTTTACCAATAATTTCGCGAAGACTATCCCAAATATTTGCTGGATATTAGCATCTATATATGGAGAAGTCAAGAGCGGCGTTTTAACACGTGCATATAAAGGTATGAAACATTAGCTATGATATAAGGAAAGTCATGACTGGGCCACTTTATTAGACGCGCTTGCAATTATTTTCCTCCAAGCCTTGAAATCAGGCTTATCGATGAAATCATCAACAGAATTCGTATAACGGTTGTCTCGATACAAACTAAAGTTTTTTTCCCTTGAGTGTATTTGCTTGGCTAAACTGTAGCTCTCTATTGACCATGCATACATATATCGAAATATGACACGCATTCGAAGTAAGATTTCATATAGATGATCATGCAATTGTATATAACAAGACGTTCTCAATTGCATTTTATGTATATGTTAACGCGAGTAAAATGTATTCGGATATATTAAATGCGCACGGCAATATAACCCTTTAGATTGCTTATCATGGCCGGTGGAATCAAGTTGGGCCACGATCATCCAATCATTCCGAATAAACATGACATGAAAGGTTGCCAGACCTTCAAAATGGCTTGGCTGAGGTTAGAAAGTTGTTAGCTTGGGCCGTGGTGGTTAATACAATTTATAGGATGCATTTACTTACATTGAAACAACAATTGTTTACAAACTTTGCTGACATTTTTCATAAAAAAAGGGTAGATGCTACCTCGAAATATATATAATTATATGATATAAAAAGATTTCGCCAGACAAAATGGATTAATGCTTTCATGCATGTCTTAATTAATCTTGATTAGTTAATTTTACTGTAAGCAGGAGGCACAAATTGTGTCACAAGTAGATGTCTCGAAGATGTTGAGGATCGTTTGTTTCTTAAAATGGTGAGTATAAACTCCCCTGTGCATGCATTTGGCATTGTCGTTTCTATATGGGCGGCAGCATTGCTATATGCTTTGCAGAAAAAATTATTTGCACTCTGTGATTTAAAAACCCGGTTTCTATATGGGCCGTCTGCTATTGCTATATGCTTTAGTGAAAATACTGTGCAATCTCTTCTTGCTGCCGGGGTTGAGTATTAAGTTGTTTTGCAGGGCGGAACTGAATTCGGACCTTCGGGATTGCGGATTGCCGCGGTGGTTTGAAATGAAGATTTCGAAAATTATCCCATTAATTTACGCGTTCTATTTCTTTAGGTCACTATTGTTAGGCTCATGCAGGTAGCATAGGTATTTACACAGTTAACTATGTAAATGGTCGAATATTTGGGGGAAAATATTTCCTGATGAATATAGTGACCACCAAGAATTTAGTTAGCTAATTTAATATCACAAGTATTAATTAGCGATATAGTGGTTCATCAGTCACACATGCATATGTGATCGTATGGTCACAAAACATATCACTTATATAAAAATATGGCGGCAGAAATAGGAACATTGCAGCTTTAGCTTTGCGAAGAAAATATGGCGATGGTGCATGCAGTCGATAAAATAGATTATTATCAAATTTTAAAATATTCTTAAGGTATAATGATGCCCTTAGTTGCTACTGACAGTACTGTGTATAGGCGACATTCCGCGACAAGCTTGACCGCAGCTAGAGGCTATTGCTGCACGGAACATATTGCTGTGTGCACTAGGTAAATATCCAAGCTTATATTTTAAATATTTTATTACCGCCGCGCAATGCATTGCTAAAATTTAAATGTGGATTTTCACGTGTATAAATGGTTTGGATATTTAATGTAGTGGGCTATTTATACCAAATAAGTTTTGACAGCATGCAAGCACACGTTACTACGCTGGTTTGCATACAAACGAACTTTGCGTATGCGATATTTTGTATTAATGTCTGGTTATCATCTGTAAACAACTTGAACCTTGCGCTAATTAATTTAGTCGTTTGCGCGTCAAAGAGTATAAGCAATAGTGTACAATGGAATCTCTTGTGTTTAGTTTAACATAAAATATGTATCCAGTATATAGCTGAAACTCAACCAAACTTAGACGGTGACCAATGACATTGCCTATGATATTATTATCGAAGCCAGGCCATTTATGGCAATCTTCGTTTACTCTCGGTTTAGAGCCGTGTTAATTAAACGGATGCATGCATGATGTGTTTATATGTCCTTAAACCACCCATACATATAGTTTGTCCGTGGAGAGATTTACAAAATCTGTAACGTTGTTGCAAATAAACACGCGCTGAATATTTTGATGGGTATAGTTGCAGATGATGCATTGATTAATTTGTACTAATAACTGAAGGCTTTCTAACGATTCATAAACCCGAATTTTGATGCAAAATGCAAATGTGTATATGTATATAAAGTATAAAATAATGTGATTTAGGTAGTTTAGCTAATAAATTTAGTTAAACATTCAAATGAAGGCATAGATTATATGTACGCGCATACTTGCGCCAACACATGTTACGTGTTTGAAAATATTTCTTATTCTTTTAATTACTCAATAATATCTTGCGTCAATCATACGCGCAACAGGCGTTCAGACTAATTCGTTAAAACCGTTCATAAACATAAATCGTTCAAACGGCTTCAGATTGAACGTTTATGTATCCGTTCGTATTCTCGACTTTAAACGTTCACATTTTTAGTTGAATTCGTCAAAACGTTTTTTGGGTTCGTTGAAACGTTATGACAGATCGTTCACTACCCGTTCGTTACCGTTCGTTTTGCCGTTTCAACGAAATATCGTTAAAGGTACGTTTTCCCGTGGAAGGTCACATATGTTGAATGGGGCAGTAATTATATACCTACCACAGTGAAATTGAATTTCTGTGGAATATTCTATTGAGGTCATAAATTCTAGGTCATAAATTTCTTCGCTCTGTGGCAATATCTTTCTAGACCTTTGACGGTAAAAGACAAAACATTTAAATTTTTCTGCTCGAGGCGTTAAAGAAGTAATCATTACAAACTGTAAATTTTAGTTGAAGACAGTATTCGACAAAGCAGACAACAAAGAATATGTGAGAGTTGAAATAAACAAATTTAGGTAAGATCATGATTTAAAATCTTTAGTGCAGTGGGGAAAGTTGATTTAAGTTTTAAAATAGGGAAAATTGAAAACATGAGATGTATGTTAATGAAATGCGTATTAGATGAAATATTCCTACAGCTTTACGGAAATATTTCATTCATTCAATTAAGATCACAATGATATTCTTCAGCCATTCATTCATTCTAACTTCAAGGCGTCATTGTGTGTCAATGAGCACAATTGTAAACTTCCACAATTGTGCCTGACAATGAGCGTAATTTTGAACATTTGTATTGGCATTTTCGTACGATAACGAGGAAAGATGAGAAAACACGTGTTTTACATTCTGTATTCCGTTTTTTTTATCTACATTAGATTATCGTTTAATCATTTCATATTGAATATTTTCTACTTGGCCTAATTTTTTTTTCCTTTGTAAATTGCCCAAGCTAATTTAGTAAAAACTATGAAAAATTCCGGCTGCGCAGATTTCTCTTCATGGAAAATAGCCTTCATATAAAAAATTATCAAGGCCGATTTTTGAAAATTGAATATAGAAAATAAATGTTCAATATGAATGTTGTTTAATTTCGTCCGCTCTTTACTTACCTTCATATCACAGGCTAGTACAGTGATTCATTATTGAATATGAAGATTTAGTTATTCAGGCAAATCAGATTATATAAGAGAAGCTTTTTAAAATGTATTTATAATACGGTTCTTGTATTTTTATCTCTAGCTATATATTTGTTCCATAATAATTTCGCTTTTTCTTTCATCTCAACTCACCAGCTCTGGAAGCGTTATCGCAGATATGGACATGTTATTTAAAAAAGAAGATGAAACTGGCATCAGGGAGTTGATAGCTGCTGTACGAAATAACTCATTTGGTGATTTTGATCTGGATCGTGACGCTCTTCAAGTTGTTATAACGGGTACGGCATAAAATATCTCACCATGGATATATCAGTATTGTATGCATGAGTTGGGAACCCTAAAGTTATATTAGTTTTTTTCTTCATATTTCTAAAAATATTTCTTCATATTTCTATAAAGTGAAATTCAACTATCTATATCATTGCATGAGTGTGACCTAGAAATTTTGTTATTACTGATCAGTGAAAAAGTTATTTTAATCATTGGACAGATTTATGGTGACACACTAAAAATCAAACTCTTATTCAGGTAAAAATATTGTGATGAAAACATTATGAGAATATTGATTTTTCTCAGTCAATGACTTTAAAGAGTTTGAGTTAGCTTTTAAAATACAGCTGTTTTTAAGGTGGCTCAATACGGTTTTCAAGAATTCCATTGTTCATCACTTTGACACGTTCAAACAACGCATTTTTGTGATTTATTCTAGAGATATTCGGGTTTTTATATATTTTGATGTCTCTACTTGTGAATCGTATTAGTTTTAGTAACAGATTGTCCGTTGCTATGGTGAGATACGTGTACAAAATTCACTCCAAAATTACCAATTGCCTCGGATAGTTGGAAAAGAAGCACGGTGACCCCCAATTTTTTTTCGTCCATTATTTTACTTGGAAGAAAAACTAAAAATTGGCAAAATATAAAAAAATTCTATAATGCCACATTTTTGAAAAATGTAAAAATGACATTTTTTTCGATAATTTTTTTTGGCGATTATAGAATTTTTTTATATTTTGCTAGTTGTTAGTTTTTCTTCCAAGTAAAATGATGCACGAAAAAAAATTGGGGGTCACCGTGCTTGTCTGAGGCAATTGGCCATTTTGGAGTGAATTTTGTACACGTGTGTCGCCATAGCAACGGACTATTAGTTACTAAAACTAATACGATTCAAAAGTAGAAACATCAAAATATATAAAACCCCCAATATCTCCAGAATAAATAAAAAAGATGCGTTGTTTGAACATGTCAAAGTGATGAACGATGGAATTTTTGAAAACTGTTTCGAGCCACCTTTGTTTCAGCTTATATAATATTTTTAGTGTGAACTTATACCAACTTCTTGTGGCAATCAAAAGAGTAAAAAGAAAGTGTATCGGATTTGATATGAATGTCCCCCACCCCCTGACAAACTCTTGAACACTGTCGTGCGTCAAATTATAGTTAAAATCTATCTACATGGTGTTTTCGTCTCATTCTGTTTTTTGATCGTTTATAGGTGCATGTCCACCATATGGTCCTGACATCTGCCCCGGAAATTCAACATGTGCAACGTTGACTGAGAGTACAATAAAATGCCCTTGCATTAAAGATTTTTACTTTGACGGTGTTAAATGCATAAGTAATTAATATATTAATTTAATATAACTAAGTATTTGTCTAATACTCTAGCTACGTGTTTTTATAAATCGGCCGTTTCAAATTCGTGTAGCAACCGAACAAACGGAAGAATTTATCAAAAGGCAAACACCTTTGCATGAAACATTTACAGAACACATCTTTTTGCCAAACGCCTTTGTGCAACACATGCAGCAGCTTTTTATAATGATAACACATCTTTCCATAACTGATATTCTTTTATGACAAACCTTCTACGCATTTCTTAAAAATGCAATCATTAACCGTCGTTTTCTAAAAAACCATGCAGGTCTGATATTTCTTTGTAAAAAAGTGTGATTAACTTTGCCATATCATCTTTAAGCATATCTCAAGGAATTCGGACTAATCTGATTGGCAAATAGCCATTTGTGCAATCGTGATGTCCATATTTATTTCTTAATATTCTGAATCGTAAATAATTGAAACACATAATAATTAACGTTGGATTATTTCCACTTTAGGAAACGTCGTTGTAAAAGCTGCAATAGTCTTAGAAAGGAAGTTTACCCCATCGTTAAAGAACGAAAACTCAGAAGAATATATAGAGTTGAAAGAGAATATTACGAATAAGGTAAATCTGAATTCTCTTTACGGAAGTCGTATTTTCCTGTGCAAAAATTCTTTTTTTGTTAGACTTTTGTGATATCACAAACCTACCGCATAATAACCTTTTCGATTAGCCATAATTTAGTTGGGCGTAGCTACCAGTTGTAAATGTTTATAAATTGGTCTTTAATGCTTATGAACTTCTTATACTATAAAAGTATCGTTAGATAAATCGCTACTACAAGTTCGATGTTTTTCTACCTCGTGTTCGTTACTAAGCAACTAACATTGTTCTTGACTTCACGTGACAACTAGTCACGTGAGCATAACTATAAATAATGTCAACATTGCATCCCTCCTATGCTTTACATATGAACTCTACTAACTATAACAAAATATTAACATAATGTTTAAACTGTATCTTATCTGTCTTAGTCCAGGTCAAAACAGTCAATCATAAATGTTATTCCCATATCTGTTGATCCGTCGTCTTTCTCTTGCTGGATATCTCGGACAATCATCTTGCCTGGGACCAATTTCTTGTCTTGGACGATTATTCTGTCGCAATCGATTGTGCTGTTCATTCTCTACGCGAACATCTTCGTCTGAGAAATAATTTTCTTCATCAAGGTTATCTGTTGAATTCAGTGGTATTCCATGTTTTGGGTGAAACTTTTTAAAGAAGGAAATGTTCCGCGTTATATATTTCCCATTCCTCACTGCGGTGATCCTGTTGCCACGGCGATTTGTAACTTCATATGGTGTTGGATCATATTTTGTGGACATTTTGTTTGACTTAGATTGTTGCACCAAAACTAAATCTCTTTTTTTGATGTCAGCACGTTTCACTCTTCGTGTTGAATCAGCATAGTCCTTTTGTTTATTTTTCAACCTTTCATCTCTCTCTTTCAGCTCTTGATGAATTGGGGACTGGTTATCAAACAACACATGTGGTAATTTTGTTTGAAGCTGACGGTTGTATAGCAACTCTGCCGGTGATTTGCCAGTCGTGGCATGTGGGGTAGCTCTGTAGTTAAGCAAGAATTTGAACATTTCACGCTTCCAATCTTTGTTTTCATGATATGCGGATTTTACAGCTTTCACAAGTGGTTTCATGAAGTTTTCAGCTTGTCCATTTCCTTCAGGCCATAATGGTGAGCTTGGTTTATGTGTAATGCCAAGTTCTTTGAGGTGCACACTAAACTCATGGCTCTGAAATGGTGGGCCATTATCACTCTTTAGCACCTTTGGGATACCATGTGTGGCAAAAATTCGTTCAAGTTTCAATATTATGGATTTGGCAGAGGTCGAGCTTACAATTTCCACCTCCGGGAAACGTGATCGAATATTGATTAACATCAATGATTACTAACAGATAGGAACCACCAATGGTCCACAAAAGTCAATATTCACTGTGTGCCAGGGTTCGGGTGGTAGCGTTGTCATACGTAATGGTTCTTGGTGACTGTTTGGTCCATTTGCTTGACATAATAAACAAGTATCCATTGTATGTTTAGCTAGTTGGTCTATACCCGGATACCAAACCTTTTCTCGTAATAGCTGTTTGGTTTTGACAAGCCCTTGGTGGCCTTCATGGGCAATATGAATAGCCTTTAGTCTAAGGCCTGTATTCAAAAAGCTCACTCACACTCACACCTGAGTCAGACTGTAGTGAGGTTGACTCAAGTATGGTTGAAATGTGAGTGAGGGTGGAGTATGAGTGCAACGTTACACTGCGTGAGTGTGCGCTCATCCATTGGAAAATCGTGTCGATTTGTATTCATAAAGCGCACTCGAGTATGACTTATCCAAGTAGAACTGTACAATGACAATCAGGATAATACAGCTATTTATACATCGGTACAGCAACGAGGAAATAAAATATAACGTTTATATAATCCCACGAGGCCTCTGATTTGTTAATTAAACCCATTCAATCTAACTATAGCTCGTGTTGTACATGTGACGAATGTCTGTGACCTCCGTAATTTAAATAGCTGACTATTGGTGTATAGGCACACACAATTTAGTGAGAACCAGGCAGTACAAGATGTCGCAACCTAGGCAGTTTTACTCAGAATTAGAAAAGACTCTGTTAATAGAACTAGTTGGAAAACACAAAGATGTTATCGAAAATAAGAAGAACGATTATAAGACAATTACACAAAAAACCCTCGCGTGGGAAGAGTTAGCACAAGAATTTAATTCCCAATCTGGTGTTACGAAAAGAGATTCGAAGCAGTTAAAGAAATGCTGGGAAAATGTGAAGGCCCGTGCCAAGAAGAATCTTGCGAAGGAGAAGAGACGTGCAAAATTGACGGGTGGTGGTCCATCGTGTGTGCAACAAGAAGACGAGGATGCGGCCGTAGCCGCTATTATTCCCAATCAAATAGACAGCCTTAGCAACCCGTTTGACGACGATAATTACATCTCCAAAAATCTAATTTGACAACATTCAGCATATCGACAGGAGGAAAACAAATGTATTGGTTCTTTAAACCGGCAATTGCAACCGATACACGTTTGATGATTCTACTTGCTGATGGCTGCGAAATGCCACACAGGTCGCCGCAAGCTACTTGGAACGTTCCCGTAGCATAAAATCGAAGAGTCAACAAAAGTTGTATATCGGCTGGAATAGGTCTTCCTCTCTCATTAGGTGCATATAACTTGTCTCTGATTAGGTCAAGGAGTGCACGAAATCCATCCTTTGTTAACCTGAATCGGGACCGAAATTGATCATTATCATAGTTGTCATACTCAAAATGATATAATTTCCTCCTATTTAAGTCGTTTCGTGGGATATTGTTCACTAATTCTAACCTTCGTAGCCATCGATCCGCCATATTGTTATACGTTTGTTCGCTGGAGTGTGTCTGAAGGGAGGTATACCCTTCACTAACACTCCACTCAAAAATAGTACTTCCCTTAAGGGTGAGCATTGTCTTTGAATGCTTGGAGTGTGAGTGTAGTCTTCTACCGGACAAGTGTGAGTTGACACCTGATAAGTGCTCACTCGTCCTTACTAAGGTTGAGTAGCAACTCATTGAGTGTGAGTGTGAGTGAGCTTTTTGAATACAGGCCTAAGGCTTTCGGGAAGGACAATTCGCGAACCTCGTAATATGACTCCATCCTGTTCATTGAGTGTAAGTTCTGTTTTAATTTTCTTGCACACTTTCAAATCCGAGACTTTTATGTTGGGATTGGATTGCACATCCAGTGAGTTGATTAAATGCCACTGACCTGTTGATACGAGGGTACCCAGGAACTGTAATGTTGGATCAGCCAAAGTGGCTTGCTGTATTTCAGGCAGTGTCATTGCTCTTGGAACAGCATGTTGGGTTAGGAAGCAAACATAGTTGTCTGCCATTGTTTGAAAATGTCTGTCATCAGTGGTGTCATTGACAGGTAAATGTCGTGATAGAAAGTCTGATGGATTGTCAAGTCCCTTGGTGTAACTTACGTTAAAATCATAATCCTGTAATCGTAGATTCCATCTTTCAATTCTAGCCGGGGGTCGTGAATTTGGGTTGTTCAAGATCAACTCGACTGGTTTGCAATCAGTTAGCAGAGTGAAATGTCCTCCGTATAAATAAATATGTAAACGTTCAATCGCCCACACAATTGCAAGAGCTTCTCGCTCCGTTTGGCTATATCGTCTTTCGACGTCTGATAAGGACCGACTGATGTATGCGACAACATTTCTTTGTTCTGATCCGGAAGCTTTCTGCATCAGAATCGCTGATAGACCCACAGGTGATGCATCTGTAATGAGTTCTGTGTCTTTAGTTTGATCGAAATATGCCATGACTGTTGCGCTTGTAAGAGCAGCTTTCACTGGAATGAATGCCTGCTCATGTCTTGATGTCCAACAGAAAGGTATATTCTTTCGTGTTAGTTCCCGTAAAGGTTCTGTGAGCTCACTGATATTTGAAATGAATTTGGCACAATATGTTGCCATACCAAGAAAACTTCGAACAGCTTTGGCCTTTTTTTTGAGGTGGGCAGTCATGAATGGCTGAGACCTTGGCTGGATCTGGTGACATTCCTTCACCCGAGAAGACAAAACCAAAATGTGAGCTGTGCTTGACTGAACTCGCATTTGTCCTGGTTTAAGGTGAGTCCAATGAGTGAAAACCGCTCAAATATGTCATGAAGGGCTTTGTCATGCTCTGCTTGTGTTGTGCCAAAGATGATTATGTCATCACTATTGCTAATGGCATTCGGTATGTCTCGGATCTGTTCGCTAATGACGTGTTGAAAAATCTCACTTGCCGAATTGGTACCAAAATTCAACCTCTTATAGCGGTAAAGCCCTTTGTGTGTTGTAAAGGTTATGTGTCGACTTTCCTCTGCGAGCGATAACTGATGGTATCCTGAACGAAGATCAAGCTTTGTGAACACGGTGGCACCATTTAGCTTGTGAATTAAATCATCCACAGTTGGAGTTGGATGTCGTTCGCGCTGAATCGCTTCATTAGCTTTACGCATGTCAATACACAGTCTGACATCGCCATCTTTCTTTGGAATAACCACCAATGGGCTGACCCAATGAGTTGCTTCTGATGTTTTTTCAATAATTCCATCACTTTCTAGTTTGTCAAGTGCATCTGAGACCTTTTTCCGCATGTGGAAAGGAATACGGCGGGGGTTCTGTGCCACTGGAGGAACAGTATCATTAATGTGTAATTTAACTTCAAAATCTTTAAGGGTTCCAATTCCATTGAATATATGGGCATACTCTTTCAACAATTGGTCATGGGTGGACTGTCCAGATTTTACATTGTTGATCTTTAGCATAATTAGACCCAAAGCAGATGCCGTTTGATAGCTGAGCAAACAACCAAAATTTCCTTTGATAACATGAACTCGTGTGGTTGTTGTGCCTGTCGCGAATTTCAAGGTGGCATGAAATTGTCCCATAACAGGCAACTGGTGGGTGGCACCGTAGGCAAAAACACGTGTCTTGGAATGGCGTAGGGATAAGGGTCTCTGTTTCTGTAATATGTTGAAAGCAAGTTCATCGATGATGTTGATGGAGGCACCAGTGTCGATAACCATGTTAATAGGTGTGTTGTTGACCAAAATTTGGACCCGAGGTGTTGTTTTGTCTCTACATGATGGTTTTAGCGTGAAAAATTCATCCTCGCTGCTACTTTCATTGCTGGAGGGTTGGCGAGAAATCTTTTGGATTTTTTTTTGGTATTTTTTTGAAGAGTTTTGGTTTTCTCGTTGACTTATACGAGGCTTGCGGGCACTACGACAGACTTTCGCAAAATGATTGGTTTTCCCAAAGTTCAAACAAGATTTTCCCTTTGCTGGACAAATATTGTTGTTATGGGGCCAGAGCCCCCCACAATTTCGACACTGTGATGAAGTGCGAAAAGCTTGACGATGAAACGATGTTGGTTGTTGATCATGATTACTTTGGTTGGCTGTCCCTTGAGGGCGCACGGCTTCAGCTACTTCGTCAGAAATATGTGTTGATTCCAGTGCGTTTTCAATGCCGGCTGCTTGTGATTCACTAAGTTCGAAAGCTCTGCCTTTAGCGAGAATCTTGGCTAAGGTAACCTCTGAATCGAGAAGGGCATAGCGTCGTAAACGTTTCGATGAACAGTTTTGAATTATGGCCGATTTCACTTCTTTATCAATATTTGCAAAGTCACAGTTTGTTGCCATTTTCCTAAGACGAGTTGAAAATTGATCTATGGTTTCATGGGACTGTTGTTTGGCTTCACGAAACTTAAAGATTTCAAAATCGAGGTGTTTTTGAGGTGAAAAATACGTATCAAGGGCAGCGATGGCGGAATCATAATCGTCATCTTCGCCGATTTCAGCGAGGGTGTCAAAAATATCCTGAGTCTCTTGGCCAGTTTGGTATAGCAAGAGAGCTCGCTTTTGTTTCTTCTCCGTAACATTTAGAGCCACAAAATATGTTTCGAATCGTCGTTTCCACGTTTTCCATCGTTGGCTGAGAGAACTTGGATCTGCCAAGGGATCAAATGGCGCCATTGGGGTTAAATCGATTCGGCCACTTGCCATGACTTTCTGACTTTATTCGTCGATTATAGGTTTCAAAATCGTTGTTATTTATAAACGATATCTGCTTTTGTTTACCTCGTCGCCAATGTAATGTTTATAAATTGGTCTTTAATGCTTATGAACTTCTTATACTATAAAAGTATCGTTAGATAAATCGCTACTACAAGTTCCATGTTTTTCTACCTCGTGTTCGTTACTAAGCAACTAACATTGTTCTCGACTTCACGTGACAACTAGTCACGTGAGCATAACTATAAAATTAATAATGTCAACATTGCACCAGTAACCACATTTTCATGCGAAATTTTTGATGAATACACTTACGCCTCTATATTCTAAAAGCTCACTCACACTCAAACTCAGTGAGTGAGAGATCTTGTTCTTCTTATATCTTTCCATTGCTGTATTTTCAGTCAAACAAAGCTTGATATTTAATGTTTTACCTTAAATCTATTCTTTGAATAAGAAAAAACTTTCTCATTGATCGGTAATAACAAAATTTCTATGTCACACTCAAAGAGTGTGAGTGTGAATGTCAGTGAGCTTTTTGAATACAGGCGTTATATATAATATTAGAATAAACCATGGTAGTACAGTAAACGACAGTTATTATAATATATATGGCTTGGAGACAAGATGGAAGTACAATACAACTCATGTTATCTATGTTATTGTCCTGGGACCGGTTGTATCAAGCCCGTTTAGCTTAAACGGTGGATAAGTCAAAATTAAATAGCACTCTTACATCTCTCTTGAATGAGTCAACTTGAATATGCGCTGAATATGTAGTTGTAAAAAGTATATTTTATTAAGGTAAAAAACATTTAGTTTGCTTGTTGAATAAAACGGCAGACTTGCTTTCTATTTTGAACTTATCCACCGTTCAAACTAAACGGGCTTGATGCAACCGGCCCCAGGTTTCTTGAAAATGGTCCCTTATCCCGTCACATGTCTATATTGTATTTTTGCGCAACTAACCAATAGCAATGGCTTGGCTTAACTCCTCAACCGTAACTTGAACAACATGTTAATTCAGACCTTACTGTTGTTTATTTGTTCAAAATACAATAGACACGTGACGAAAAAGGAACAATTTTTTGCATAAATGTTCGCCGACATAGTTAATGAGTTCTATTGTACTTTTACGCAGTCTCTAAACAATGTATATTCTATTAACTGCGAGTAAACATACTACAGTATTGAACAATTATCTAAAATCTTAACCGGGTGTTACCCGTCGTTGTAGGGTATAACCACCAGGATTAGAAGATTATATTTTACCTTAATTGCATGTTATTGCAAACAAACAAACAAAATCGAACGTCATTCAATAGAATGGAATGGAACGTCAACAATCACTTACTAAAAAACAAGAAGTCTTTTAAACTGGAAATGCCGAGTAGAGAAATCGAATGGCAGGGGGACAAAAATAAAATGCTAGACCAGACATGCAATGTCATTTGGCAACGCGTAAAGAAAGTATAAAATATATTTCGCAAGTCTAATTATGTTAACTGCTTTTTTATATTGTTTTATTATTATTTCTTTTATTGCACCGAAACTATCGTTTCCTAGGATAGATCAGATCTTTATTAAGGTTTAGTATTTTGATTGACATTTAGCTTGTGACAAAAATTTTAGTCGAGGGGAGGTGGTATTGCACCACATAATAATACCATGCAATGATCTGTTTTGTTAGCTAACGGAGACTTTTAAAGATACCCAAAACTTTGAACGCGTGGAAGTGACGGGATTCAGGTAAAGTACCGTGTTTATTTGTGAAAAAAAAGAATGTCCGCAACCCTGATTAAACATGAGAAAAACAACGTTATCTGACCCGCCCAAGCACTAGGCTGTAGCTATCCTATTTACTTTTTATAACAGTAAAGCAAGTGCCATATAATTTTCATTGCAATGACGTTGACGAAATGTTTCAATTTTGAAAAAAAATGAATTCAATTGTGACAAAATGAATGGATTATAAAAAATTTGACTGAAATAATTAACTTGTAAAAAGTCCAGGACCGCCTTGTGACTTTAAAATCATTGAAATATAAACAAGGTTAGAATAAGATAAAGAAAAATTTAGTATTTCAAAACAGGGTTTAAATCTATGGCATTCGAAATTTTTAACCTTATACTCTAATCCTAAAATTTTTATACTCATGCATGTCAGTGTCGATGGAGTGCTCTCTTGATCTATAAGTTATTACGTGTTTGAGATTTTCACTCGTGTTTTTTTTCATACTTTAACGTAGGAACGGATCTCTCGTAGTAGGGGAATTGTATACTATTTTCGGAAATTCCCTTTTTGTTCCCTAAATCAAAAGTTAGTCTACTATGGAAAAGGGCAATGAGAGAGTGAGATTAAAAAAAAATGAGGAATAAGACCTTCGGGGCGACAACTGCACGGAATAACTTAGTTCGTAGTTGGAATCATCTATTTCTTATTAAATCAAACAAATGTATTTCGAGGTCTTCCTTTTTCTGCATTCTTTACAGAACCACCCCCTCCACCAAAGAGCCTTAATCATTCCAAGGTCACCGAGAACAGAATTGACATTCGTTGGGAAAAACCTGCAGCAAACGACTTTTTTGAAATATTTGGTTACATAGTAAGCCACAAAGAAAAGTCTCAATTAAAATACAAGACGCAGGATATGACATCGGGTACATTTAATGTTATATTAAGTAAATTGAAAAGTGAACATTTTACGACATCACAGTCCATGGATATAATAGTGAGGGCAGTGGAGACAAAATAGAAATTTCAGTAAAGACAAAAGAAGAGGATTCGGGTAAGTATCATTGCTTATATATAGTGTTGCCGAGTCATTTTCAAATCCAAAACTCTCGGGGCAACAGATTTTGGATAGTCGTCTTTCCCATCACCATATACAGTTTATGCTTAACTTAGTGGCCCTATTTTTAATATAAGGCTATGTTGTAATCATGATAGGCATGTTCTTTGCATTAAAACTCACGTTAAAGATGCAATCTCGTATGGATCACTCACACCCTCACTCATTGAGTGTGACCTAAAAATTTTGTTATTACTGAGCAGTGAAAAAGTTATTTTTAATCAGTGGACAGATTAATAGAGAAACTTAAACACTGAAAAGCAAACTCTTATAAAGGTAGAAATATCGTCATTAAAAAGTGATGAAAAATGAGAAAATTAATCTTTGTCACTGAATGGGTTTAATGAGTTTAAGTTTGCTTTTAATTTAGAATAAAGGGCTGGTTAATCAAGCCTGTTTAGCTTAAACGGTAGTTAAGTTCAAAATTGAAAGTACGTCTATCGTTTTATAGAAAAAGTATACAAAATGTATGTAGCCTTAGTACAAAGATACTGTTTGCAACTACATATTTAGTGCATAATATTCAAGTTGGCTGTTTCAAGAGAGATGTAGGGGGTGTCATTTAATTTTGACTTATCTGCCGTTTAAGCTAAACGAGCTTGATAAAACCGACCCCAGGAGTTTGTCTTATTATCAGTGGCGTAACCAGCCTGACGATTTAGTCATGATATGCAAACTTTTCGTTATTATCATTCTTCATTTCTTTAAAAATTAATTGTTTTCATAATCAATGAGAACCAAAATATTAGCATAGCACGACTAAATTTTCGGGCTGGCTGTATAGCTGTTTTTTAACGTTGAGAACACATGCATATTGAGGTATAAAGTGTCAATAAACTCTGGCTTTGAGATACCTATAGTAATTTGTTTTAGCATATATAATATACTATACCATCTTCTTGTGTCAAACAAAAGAGTAAAAAGAAAGTGCATCGGATTTTGACATAAATGTCTCCCACCCCCTGACACACCCTCAAATACTGTTGTGCGTCTATAATTATAGTTAAAATCTATCTGCATGGTATTTTCGTCTCATTCTGTTTTTTGATCGTTTATAGGTGCATGTCCACCAAATGGTCCGGACATATGCCCCGGAAATTCAACATGTGTAACGTTGACCGAGGGTACAATAAAATGCCCTTGCAATAAAGACTTTTACTTTGACGGTGTTAAATGCATAAGTAATTAATAAATTAATTTAATATAACTCAATATTTGTCTAATACTCTACATATACGCGTTTTTAAATCAGCCGTATGGAATTTGTGTAGCAACAACACATGGCCATGGCGCCATGCTGTTAGAATTTATCAAAAGGGAAAATGGCGGCGAATACGCGTACACTTTTTTTTAGAAAAACCTTTGAATGAAATATTTACAGAACAAACCTTTTTGCCAAACGCGTTTACACATTAACGCAGTGGCTTTATAATGATAAAATTCTTAAAAACACAATCATAGAACCGTCCTTTTCGAGTAAACCATGTTTGATATTTCTTTGGAAAAAAGTGTGCTTGACTTTGCCATATAATCTTTAAACATGCATATCTGAAGTAATTGGGACAGATCTAATTGGCAAATAGCCATTTGTGAGATGGTGATGTTTATTTTTATTCCCTAATATTTCTAAATGGCAAATATTTGAAGCACTTAATAATTAACGCTTGATTATTTCCACTTTAGAAAACGACGTTGTAAAAGTTGAAATAATCTTAGAAAGGGAGTTTACCCCAGCGTTGAAGAACGAAAGCTCAGAAGAATATATAGAGTTGAAAGAGAATATTACGAATAAGGTAAATTTGAATTCTCTTTACGGAAGGTGCATTTTCCTATGCAAAAATGATTTTTTCGCAAAACGTTTTGTGATATCACTTATACGCCTCTATATATTCTAAAAGCTCACTTGCACTCTCAATTAACCCATTGAGTTGGGAGATCTTATTATTATTCTTATAACTTTCCATGCATATATGGCGGTACTTCCAGTCTTCAATTTACCTTAAATCTATACATTCACTAAGAAAAAACTTTCTCATTGATCAGTGATAACAAAATTTCTATATCACACTCAAAGAGTGTGAGTGAGCTTTTTGAATACAGGCGTTATCATTAGAATAAACCATGGTAGTAAAGTAAATATACTACAGTATTGAACAATGATCTAAAATCTTTTCCTCGTGTTGCGGCAGGAGACGTCGTTCTGGTGCATAACCGGGATTATAGGACTATATTTACCCTTATTGCAAACGAACAAACAAAATTGAACGTCATTCTTTTGAATGGAATGGAAACTCAAGAATCAGCTACTTATCATTTTACAATTTGAAACATTTTATCCTTTTCTATACAAAGTAAAAAGCGAGGGACTTTTTAGACTGGAAATGCCGAAAAGAGAAATCGAATGGCAGGGTGACAAAAATAGCTAAAATGCTAGACAAGGCAAGCAAATTTATTTGGCAACGCCTAGAGCAAGTACATTAAATCGAGAAATAAAACACATTTTGCAAACCTTGCTGTCATGTCAACTTCTAATTAATTTTGTTTAATACACCAAAGCTATCGTTTCCTAGGATAGATCAGATCTTTTTTGCGGTTTAGTATTTTTAACGACATTTAGCTTGTGACAAAAATTTTAGTGGAGGGGAGGTGGTATTGCACCACATAATAATACCGTGCAATGATCTGTTTTGTTAGCTAACGGAGACATTTAAAGATACCCCAAACTTTGAACGTGCGGAAGTCACGGGATTCAGGTAGAGTACCGTATTTATTTGTTAAAAAGAAAAGAATGTGCGCAACCCTTATTAAACATATATAAATATATAAATATGAAAAAGGGTGCGCAGTCATGTGAAAAAAAAACGTTATCTCGTACCCGGCCAAGCACTAGGCTGCAGGCTATCGTATTTTACCTTTTATAACAGTAAAATCAGTGCCATACAATTTTCATTGCAATCACGTTGACAAAATGTTTCAATTTTGAAAAAAAATGAATTCAATTGTGACAAAATGAATGGATCATATGAAATTTGACTGAAATAATTAACTTGTAAAAATGGACTTTTTAACCGCCTTGCAGCTTTAAAATCATGAAAATATAAACAAGGTTAGAATGAAATAAAATTTAGTATTTGAAAACAGGGTTTAAATATATGGCATTCGAGGCTTTTAACCTGACTATATAATCCTGAAATTTTTAAATTCATGCATGTCAGTGCCGATGGAGTGCTCACTTGATCTATAAGTTATTACGTCTTTGAGATTTTTACTCGTGTTTTTTTTCATACTTTAACGTAGGAACGGATCTCTCGTAGTAGAATTTAGGGTTATTTACCGGAGAGATCTAGATACTAATAAGAAAGTTGTCGTTGGCGAAACATTGAGAGAGAAAATTCTTAAGAACAAAAAACTCGGAGAGTACAAAGTTAAAGGCGATATATTTATAAAAGGTAAATTTAAGGACGTTGTTAATATCTATGTACTTTATTACATTTGCTGAAAGTAAAGAGATCTTGAAGCAGTTAGTTTTTATACACTTTTGTGTGACGGCGGAAGTGTGTAACTATTTCAGTTACAAACGTTCATCCGTAATACAAATGCATACAAAATTTGCCAAATTCGTTAAACTTCGAAATTTTACTAAGTTTGTTGTACTAATTTCGGAAATTCCCTTTTTGTTCCCTAAATCAAAAGTTGGTCTATTATGGAAAAGGTTAGTCAGAGAGTAAGATTTAAAAAAAAGAGAAATAAGACCTTCGATCGAAATGACAACTGCACGGAATAACTTAGTTCATAGTTGGAATCATCTATTTCTTATTAAATCAAACAAATGTATTTCGAGGTCTTCTTTTTTCTGCATTCTTTACAGAACCACCCCCTCCACCAAAGAGCCTTAATCATTCCAAGGTCACCAAGAACAGAATTGACATTCGTTGGGAAAAACCTACAGCGAACGACTTTTTCAAAATATTTGGTTACATAGTAAGCCACAAAGAAAAGTCTCAATTAGAATACAAGACGCAGAATATGACATCGGGTACATTTAATGTTATACTAAGTAAATTGAAAAGTAATACATTTTACGACATCAAAGTCCATGGATATAATAAAGAAGGCAGTGGAGACAAAATAAAAATTTCAGTAAAGACAAAGGAAGAGGATTCGTGTAAGTATCGTTGCTTATATATAGTGTTGCCGAGTCATTTTCAAATCCGAAACTCTCAGGGCAAGCGATTGTAGATAGTCGTTTTTCCCCTCACCAAATACAGTTTATGCTTAACTGTGTTGTGGAAATTACTGAGTGCAAGGGATTTTTGCAAGGGCGCCCTAGCCACGTAGACAGAGGGGGACTGCATGAGTTAGCTCCCCACTGTCCTCTGCTGACGGGATTAAGGTCTTTGCTACTTTATAATTTATAATCATATTGCCATACCATAGTACGTTCACTGAGTGCCCTAATTTTAATATGAGGCTATGTTGTAATCGTGATGGGCGTGCTCTTTGCATTAAAACTCACGTTAAAGATATCTTCTCGCATGGATCTGCAAATTTGTTCATGTTTACATTACATTTAAGCTTCCTCTCCATTCTGTTACAATCGTAAAATGGATGTATAAAATTTTCTGACGCAATGTTCTCGCCGCTCTTAATTCCCCTTGCGGTTCCCCTAGATGTTAGATTGAATAACAAATGCATTCGAACTTCTGTATTATAGCCAATGCTGTGGTGGTTATTATCATTGTTATTATCGTGGTTGTGCTTCTTATCATCGTCGGCATTTTAGTTTTCTACAAAATGAGAAAAAGCACAAGACAAAGGGTAATAAAAATTATATAGAAATTAAGATATCCTAGTTTCGGTCTACGAGTACAGGTAACTTAATTTTTCTCAATGAATTTCCATCGATGATTGTGAATATCGTAAGTTTGAAACACAAAATCACATTGGTTTAGCTTTTAAGAAATCCATTGACACAAACTCTAATTGGACAAAATTTAGTCAGTGTAAAGCTTTTAAGTAAATTTGGCCAACTTGTTCAAAGAGTTTTTCCATTTTACATTTGGAATTTCATTTCGTTTTAGCATCGGGAGGAACCAATGCGTATGGGTGAAATGGGTGAGCCTAAAGAATTTTACAATCATGGACAAAAGGAAGATGAAATGTCCAGAGGAGATAACCCACAGAGTTAAAATGAAGACAATATTGAAAATGAAAAAAATTGTGTTATAGAGGAATGGTGATAGTTATTAACTTCGCTTGAAGACTGGAATATAAACTAGTGCACATATCAGTAAACTTATTTCATTGTAGTTACCTAGCCGTTTTTTCTTTTTGAATCGAATCATATATGACATAATTAGATGTAATTATTTAGGGATATTATTGCATGCAATAAAGTCTTAAGATTTTAAAATGTTTTAGTTTAAGGAATATCATTTTGGGTTAATAATATAACAACCCACGGTTGTAAAATAACATAAAAGCATTTAGGCATATTCAGGCCTGTTTCAAATTTTATGATGTGCCACTAAAGAGATAAGACGCCGAACGTACTTCCCTCTAACAGTGAGCCCCATGCACTATATGAAAAGAGCATAATATAAATCCAACAATTTAAATAAATACGTGCGTCATCTCAAAAGCGTGAAATTCAAATCGTAGAAGCACCGCATTTGAATGAGTGCCCATAGCCGATACCGACGTTTGAAACAGGTCTTAACAGCAGTAGCGGCACGACTTTAGATGATGCAGATGCAAAAATATTTCAGTGCCCATGTTAAAAAACAATCAATTTCTAAAGAAATAAATAGTGATAGTGATACTTGCATTTTCTATGATTATTGTCCAGTTGGCTTCCATAATATGCTACATCCAAGTCCAAGATCGATGTCAAATTACATATTTTTAGCATTTATTGCATCAACTAGTTCCTGTATGAGGCATTGTTTTTAGTTCATGTCAACAACACTATATGCATGTATATACAATCTAACATGATATCTAAAAATCACTTTTCAGATTTAATGTACCTTATTAAATTTTGTTGCCATTTGATATCAATTTTTAGTAAAAGTTAATTAATTTGCCCTCAGGGTGCGGTTTAGTACAGGTGATTAGGCCACTAAACATAGCCTGTCTTATTAGTAATGTTTACAACACAGGCGGCCGTGATATACAATCATCGTAATATACAATCACGAGCGCTTTGTAATAATAAGATTTGAATAGATATATGCAAATCAGTTACAAAGAGTGATGGTTGTATTTTCCCGAGACAACCACTAGTGTTTGTAACTGATTAGCAATATTATTCAATCTAATTTGCAAGGGGTATACAGGGGGCTATCTTTAAAACCAGGAACGGGGAATCGAGGAAGGGAACGGGGAAGGGAACGGGGAATGATAAAACCAGGAATGCGAAAAGCCGGAATCTTTAAAACCAGGAATGCGAAAAGCCGGAATCTTTAAAACAAGGAATGGGAAAAGCCGGAATCTTTAAAACAAGGAATGCGAAAAGCCGGAATCTTTAAAACAAGGAATGAGAAAAGCCGGAATCTTTAAAACCAGGAATGCGAAAAGCCGGAATCTTTAAAAAAAGGAATGCGAAAAGCCGGAATCTTTAAAACAAGGAATGAGAAAAGCCGGAATCTTTAAAACCAGGAATGGGAAAAGCCGGAATCTTTAAAACCAGGAATGAGAAAAGCCGGAATCTTACGGCCGGAAGTTTGTAACTAAATTAGTTACAATTTCCGCGCGTAATACAAAATATGCTAATTTGACATGGCTATATTTTCCGTATTTTACCAAATTCGCAGCCAAACTTAGCATTTCCACTAATTCAAGTACGCTCAATTCTTTTATCTGTTATATGGAACATAAACTGCATTCTTTTGTGGGAGAAGGAATGGATAATACATATATAATTACACAAACGATGAAACGAACACAAGGACTGACAAGGTTAGTTTGTAAACAGTTAAATTTGTTGATTTGGTCTCATTCATAAACCTACAAAGTGGAGCTTTGCGCGTTGCTATCTACCGTTTAATATCTACATTGCTATTGAAATTGAATAATGTTTGGTTGGAAATGAAAACTTTTTGGATCCAAATTTGAATTTCCAGATTTTCATATGAATTGCATACTGCATGATATAAATATGCAAGAACAACTTCACTAAATACACAATATACTTTACCTTTTCTATATTCAGTACATTGTATTTACAGCTACTTAATATATCAGTATAAATCTATGCGAACAACAATTTTGCTCCATTTAATATATACATACTAAGCTTATTTTGCAATATATATTTGTCATAGTTCATGGTATTTATGGTAACAGCTTTTCATTATTGAATCAGATTACCCCTGAACAATGCACTACACTTTTGTTGTCCCAAATATAACATGATTTTGCTTGTAAGTAAAGTTGTATAGAAAATAAAGTGCATTTTGTACCTTACTCAGATTATAATTAAACAGTTACCATTCTCACCCATGGTTTTAATGACTGGAGGCAGATTAAAAATATACCATAATAATCTGTAAGTAACTAACAGTTGCAATCAATTAAAATCTTGGCTCTTTGAGAACAACTTTATGTTGGGATGGAATTTTGGAATATACCCTAGGTCTTGTTTAGAAAAGTATAATTTCCAACCAGCATTTACTTTTACAAATGATTTATTCAAATAAAAATGCTTTAGAAATTGTGTAGGGAAAACATAGCTGTGGTTTTCTAGGCTAGTATGATTCAATATGAAAAGCTTTTACTATGAACTATGACTATACAGGGTGTCTCAAAAAAAAACGCAACCAGTTAAATATGCAAGAATATTAATATTGTTCGGGTTTGCACCATAGTTCAGCTAAAATGACGTTTAGCATTTTTTTAGCATTTTAAATGAAGGATTAAGAGCCATTTTCAATTCCCAGAGGTGCACTTTAGAGCTGTATTAATGTTCTTGCATATTTAAGCAGTTGCGTTTTTTTTGAGACACCCTGTATAGTGCAAAATAATGTATTAAGTGCAGCAAAATTAATTGTTGTTTGCATAATTATACATGTATTATATATTCCTCCAATCCTTCCTCCACAAAATAATTCAGTTTATGTTCCATATAACAGATAAAAGAATTGAGATATGTTGTTAAATTTTGGAATATTACCAGTACATTGTATTTGCTGCTACTTAATATAAATCTACTCTACAGTATGAAAACAACAATAGGATATATACCAAAATTCCGGCCATCCCAACACAAAGTTGCTCTCAAATAGCCAAGATTTTAATTGATTGCAACTGTTAGTTACTTACAGATTATTATTGTATATTTCTAATCTGCTTCCAGTCATTAAAACCTTGGGTGAGAATAGTAACTGTTTAATTATAATCTGAGTCAATTAAGGTACCAAATGCACTAAAATATTTTTATTTTCTATACAATTTTACTTACAAGCAAAATCATGTTATATTTGGGACAACAAAAGTGTAGTGCATTGTTCAAAAAGTGTAGTGCATTGTTCAGGGGTAATCTGATCCAATAATGAAAAGCTGTTACCATGAACTATGACAAATACATATTGCAAAATAAGCTTAGTATGTATATATTAAATGGAGCAAAATTGTTGTTCGCATAGATTTATACTGATATATTAAGTAGCTGTAAATACAATGTACTGAATATAGAAAAGGTAAAAATATTGTGTATTTAGTGAAGTTGTTCATGCATATTTTATATCATGCAGTATGCAATTCATATGAAAATCTGGAAATTCAAATTTGGATCCAAAAAGTTTTCATTTCCAACCAAACATTATTCAATTCCAATAGCAATGTAGATATAAACGCGGTTTATTAGATAGCAACGCGCAAAGCTCCACTTTGTAGGTTTATGAATGAGACCATGCAAATCAACAAATTTAACTGTTTACAAACTAACCTTGTCAGTCCTTGTGTTCGTTTCATCGTTTGTGTAATTATATATGTATCATCCATTCCTTCACCCACAAAAGAATGCAGTTTATGTTCCATATAACAGATAAAAGAATTGAGCGTACTTGAATTAGTGGAAATGCTAAGTTTGGCTGCGAAATTTGGTAAAATACGGAAAATATAGCCATGTCAAATTAGCATATTTTGTATTACGCGCGGAAATTGTAACTAATTTAGTTACAAACTTCCGGCCGTAAGATTCCGGCTTTTCTCATTCCTTGTTTTAAAGATTCCGGCTTTTCTCATTCCTAGTTTTAAAGATTCCGGCTTTTCTCATTCCTGTTTTTAAAGATTCCGGCTTTTCTCATTCCTTGTTTTAAAGATTCCGGCTTTTCCCATTCCTGGTTTTAAAGATTCCGGCTTTTCTCATTCCTGGTTTTAAAGATTCCGGCTTTTCCCATTCCTGGTTTTAAAGATTCCGGCTTTTCGCATTCCTTGTTTTAAAGATTCCGGCTTTTCTCATTCCTTGTTTTAAAGATTCCGGCTTTTCGCATTCCTTGTTTTAAAGATTCCGGCTTTTCCCATTCCTTGTTTTAAAGATTCCGGCTTTTCCCATTCCTTGTTTTAAAGATTCCGGCTTTTCGCATTCCTGGTTTTAAAGATTCCGGCTTTTCCCATTCCTGGTTTTATCATTCCCCGTTCCCTTCCCCGTTCCCTTCCTTGATTCCCCGTTCCTGGTTTTAAAGATAGCCGTATACAGGGTGTGCATTCGACCAAATTCACAATGTCGTTTTTAAAACATTTCAAAATTTTAACTACTATACTCATATTACCTTATTTCAATTTGTAGTTAACTTTGAGGTGGACAGTTGAGCGGTTTAAACCATGCGGTTTATAGCCTGGTTTTCATCACTCGCAGATCTAGATAGTCGGCAATATCAAAATTACGACAGATGCCGAGCATCGTAATTGGTGAAAACCGCTCATCGTAATGCATCTGCGACTGTCCCCGACGATCGTAGCAAAACAAAAAAATTGTTTTGTTACGACGATCGGCGTTTGTCGCAGATAGGCTGCGACTGATAAAACCATGAAAACCGCATTTATGTACTAGCTTCGCCGACAATCGTAAAATGCTAATCATCCTAATTTCGAACCCAGTGTTCTAATTTGTCCCGCCTTCTTGTCCAAAATGCACGAGGAACCGACAGATTAGGTTGATGAAAACCGCCTTTTTGCGATATTCGCCTACTGCTACCAAGCCAGCATCGCCGAGCATCGGCGTCTATCTGCGAGTGGTGAAAACCAGGTTTAAACCATAAACCATGTATAATTATCAAATGAACCAAACATATATAAAACTCGATGCATAT